TTTGCAAGTAAATGTAATAAGCTTATACGTACACAATTTTTGAACGAACACACATGATAGTTTTGAGAAACTATTCTTTCAAATGGAAAAGTTCTGATATATTTTACTACGAGAGTCTACGAAGTATCATTTCAGCATATTTTTGGCTAACCTGATAGATGAAATAGAGAAAATGAAAATTTAGAAATGAAATTTTATTATTTGGATTTGTATGTATCAAATCCGGTACAGGCCTTTTTAAAACTAATTATTTAGATGTGGTGACGAAAAAGAAAAGTCACTAATTGCTAACTAATCTCTCGTGGGGAATCAGAAGACAAAACCCATAGAGAGATAGAGAACAGCGAAACCCTAATAAACCCTAGGGATAGCCTTACAGACAAGAGTGTTCTTCATCTCCAAAGAAAGCTTCAATGTCTCGCTCATATCCACTTCACCACAAGGGACCCACTTGAAGCTTCCTAGCAACTGAGCCAGCCATAGCTCCACAGTAGCTAGACCCATCGACTTACCGGGACAAACCCTACGTCCAGCACCAAAGGGAGCAAGCCTAAGATCAGATCCCATGATGGAGAAGTTATCACTTTCTTGCGTACCAAGAAATCTTTCTGGTTTATACACATCAGCCTCCGGCCAGACATTTTCATCATGGGTTATAGCCCACATGTTGACCATGGCAGTGGTTCCAGCGGGGATAAAGTGGGTCCCGACATGAGTATCGTGAATAGAGAGACGAGCCCATGAGAGGAGAGGACCAGGTGGATGCATCCTTAGGGTTTCCTTGACAATGGCTCGAAGGTATGGGAGCTTGGAGAGGTCCGAGTCTGAGACTTGACGTCCCGTGTTACCCACGATGGCTTCGATCTCGGCTTGAGCCTTGGCTTGAATGTCAGGGTGAAGAACCATCCTCGCAAGTATCCATTCCAATAAAATGGCAACAGTGTCCGTTCCCCTAAAAATCATTTCCTGTACCGTAAAATCAAATCGATGTTTAGATTATGTTACTTACACCACAAACCCATATACGTACTGGTACTTACCCAAAGGACGGCGATCATATCGGAGTCAGAAAGTTTGCTGTTGCCTTGCATGCCAAGTAAGACATCGACAAAGTCATCATTACTTGTGCTCTCTTCTCTATTGTTATCATGAAGAAAGCTCTTTGATTTGTGGTCGTCGATTATCTTTCCAACGAACACATTCACCTTCCCGACCAAGCTACGGCATCTTCTCCTCACGCCTTGTAGATCTAACCACTTCATTCCCGGGAAATGATCACTCCAGTTAAAGATTCCGAGAAGCTCATAGCCTTCCGACACCAAATGCTCCAACTCGTTGCTCTCTTTCAAGTTTACAATACTACCATCGTTGAAGTCGTATGTTTTGCCGAAAACACTAGACATCACATTGTTGAGTGATACGAAATGCAAGATCCTTTTGATATGTACCTCTCCATAACTCTCCATAGCGTTCTTGATCTCTCCTACCATATTTTCCCCGATTTTCTGACGAGACTCGCCGAAACCGGAGATCCTCTTAGGGCTAAAGAGATGAGTGGAAGAGATTCTCCTTAGCTCTCTCCAGTAATCACCAAAAGATGCAAACCCCATGGCTCTATGAAACAGCAACTCGTAAGCCGACTCTTTCACTGGCCGGTCTGCGAAAGCAGAGCTGTTTAAGAGCTCTTTAGCGGTCTCCGGTTGGCTAGTTATTACAAACCGGGTTGAGCCGACAGAGAACGCCATGAGAGCTTTTGCTTTGCAAGATGTAGCAATAGCGGCGAGGATTCTGTGTGTCAAGGCGTTGTTGACGAAGGCCAAGAGGAGGCCAATGATGGGGAGACCAGACGGTCCAGGAATGGCCGGCCGCATTTTGGATTCGGGTCGGGTGTGGAAGCGAGCTTTGTAAAGTGCCCAAGCAAAGCCACCTGGAGTCAGCCAGAAAACAAAAAGGGAAATGAAGAGGAAAATGCTGAGACAAAGCTCGAGACTTACAAATGGAGAAGACTCAGATCGAGAAAAAAAGGAAAGATACGTATCAATAGACATTTTCTTGAAGAAGAAATTAGGGTTTTTCTTTTAAGATAGTGAGCCAAAGAGAAGAAACAGTTGATGATGATGAAAATGTGGACAGTGAGACTGTTCCTTATATAGTGGAGGAATTTAACTAGGGTTATATGGGTTAATAAGTAATACATGATTGATTAGAAGTTTAGCCGGGTACTCCACTAAATTTAACCATGGTTAAGACTCTTTAGAGAGATACAACTTGCAACGTTTAATTTTTTTCTTTCAGTTTGATGGATTTGCCCTTTTGTTGCATATACATGTGTTGGTTTCCATGTCATGCAAATTAAGCATTAAAGGCTATGCAACCTTTTTAGTAATAAAAAGATCAATCAATTGTCATGGAATCATGCTATACCATTTCGTAAATTTGGAACATATATTTGGAAACCAGGGATTATTTTCTTGTTCTTTTTCAACGCATCTTTGAGTCAACTGGGAACTGGGATTTAAGAGGTACCCACTCCCAGCGAGATGTTTCATTGATTTAAAGTTTATCTTGCTAGAATTGCCCTCATATTTCTCTTATTTATAAATTTTCAGTCCATTTTATTCCATTCATATTTATATTTCTTCTATTATACTAATCCCTACCTGTTAGACAATAATTTGCGGACACCGATACGTTCGCAGTCAAGTGGATCTAGCGATGTCGGATCAGATACTCGTTATAATATCTTCCGAGGATAATCCTTATGATTTTTTTAATTGATAATGCATATATGTAAGAACAATACACTTTTTTTTTAATAATGAAATACGGTATGCCGTGAATCACAAAAATAAGAAGTAATATAAATTAAGAAGTAACTAGC